ATTACCAGCATGACTGTGACGACGCTCATATCGGCGACGGTTTGGAGCCGATTATGTTGTTCCAAGATTAAAACTTTTCCGCGAACGAAATACGTTTTCGCAAATCGGAATTGCTTCATTTATCTTATACAAACTTTATAGTCATAATTTTAATATAATATTTATTACGATAATAATTATTTACTAATATTATCATCTTATTTATTATATTATTTTAATTTAAATACAGTTACATACTTTAAGTACTAATTTCAAAATTGCACAATTTTATATTAATAATTAATTAATCAAATAAATTTTATTTACAATTAAATGATTGATAAAATAAATTTTATTATTAAGAGAATATCACATATAAATCTAGCTTATGATTCAACAAAAATGAAGTCTTACTGTCAAATAGTTGAGAACTAACCCTTTGCACTCGACGATTTTTTCGTTACAGAAAAATAGTAATTCAAAGACTTTCTGCCATAAAGTCGACGAAATTTTTAAAACGGTAAATAAGAAATCATATACAAATTAAGACGTGGAATTATTTTATTTCGATATTCCACGGATCATTGGGCAATTGTAAATGTGATATGTTAATTAATGTCTACCTTTAGAATTTGATTAAATGGCGACTGATGGTCACCTCTCGAGTGCAAAGTGCTAAGTACTTATGTATAGTACATAATATGAGTGTATTATATTGGTTATTGAAATTGCTAAATTCGTAATTATTAATTTCTTAGTAATACTTAAATAAGTAAAATAAAAAACAATTTCAGTGGTGTGAATAATAACGATGCATAATGAAATTCATATACTAAACCATTGTCATATATATTGGTTATATTGCATATTCGAAACTTCGATTATATTTTTTTATTTTTTATTATCCTTTAAATACATAAGTACATAAATTTGTTATTTACATTGGTAATACTCGCTACGTAATTTCCACAAAACACTTTGTGTAATTTGTTTAAACTAACATTGTTTTTTAACAATGATCTGTCAAATTTTTATTCGTGTTTGAATCGTATTACTTTCCATGATTAGATCGCTATATGTTCTTTGAAAAGTAATTGTAAAATTGAAAATGGCGGAATTTTCAAATAAATAAATAGTATAATACCCACTCTGTTACTATTTTTTAGCATTTTCTTACGTCTTATTCTATACTTGTCATTGAGTTGTTGCTTTCCAAATTTGCCTCTAATTAACTAATTAAACAAGATATAATTTGTGATAAAATAGTACGAGTTCCAGACATTTTTCCAACAGTGAGTCACTTTACTGCCACTCCTTAACATGTCAAAGTGTTCTTCCTAAAACTGTTTCCAGTCACGACCACTGATAAACAAATGTCCTTATAGAGCAGGCCATTTTCATTTTGTTACTTTATCAGGAAGCGATACGTTTCAAGGACTATTTCTTAATGCATAATTGAATTGGTTTAGCCTTGCGCGTGAAATTTGCAATTGAAAGTAATACTAATTATTTTCTTCTGAATTTAGTGCGTTTATAATACTCGCATAAATTATAGCAAATTGTTAAAGTACATAAAATTATTTATGGATGTAGAGGTTTTCTTCTTTTTCGGACATTCAAGATTGAGGTTTAATATCTTCAATTTTGCATCATTATAGCCGAGTTTAAAAATTTTCTTGTAAAATTATGTAGATGTTATGCAATAAATTTTCAAGTCCATAATATTTGAAGTATGCATGTATTATAAAATGAGAATTATTATAGAAGAACTATATCAGGTTGTCTGTATCAATTTTATTAACTAACGAATTGATAATAAATTATTATAAAGAAAACGAATTGAAAATCGATTCGTTATTTATACTATTATTTTCGATTATTTTGTATTTATTACTTTGATTAATTTTATGCGAATGTTTGAAAGATTTAAATGTATTATAAATAATAAAAATAGAGATATATTAATAATTAAATTAAAGAAACGTGAAATATTAAGAATTGGGTGTTTATAAAAATGGAACACGAGACATTTAATATTTAAGAAAACAAAACACCAAGAAACGAATTTTCACAGAAATAAAACATTAAGGGTTGAATTTTTAGGGGAATGTCACACTTAAAGTCACGCTTTATAAAAATTCACTGCAGTGAAAGTAAAAGTTGTTTTTAGTTGGTCTTGTCACCAAACGATGGGAACTTCCGTAAATTTTCCCCGAATACGTATATTTTTCCCACGATCTTTGGGGTTACAGTGGGGTGTCTGCAAAATTCATTCGTCCGTTTCCGCGCTTAATTCTTGCTGATCCAGGTAAATAAGGATCTTCACGAAAGAAGTACAATAGCCAGGTGGGGTAGTGTCCTAAGTCATACCAGAATTCCGCTTCTTTCCCCTGGAAGGATCTTGCGACCGTTGAGGAGGAATATGGAAACTGTTTTCTGAAATAAATCACACGGGGAGATTTTCAGGGGTTTCGTTAAAGTAACGGTTTCTTGTCGGAAAAGTTTGCGTTGGCAACGTAGCCCTAGCTAATCAGCCTTCTATTATTTCCTTTCGATGTCTGTGATGTCAGAGATTACAAAATTCTGAATTTTGTAAAAAATGATGAAATAGAGAACAACTCATTTTTATTTACTGTCTTGTTCGAAACAAATTGGATTATAAACGTATATTATAGTAAAGTATATTGTCAATAGAAAATAAATTTAATCTTATGCATAATACATATATATGTGTATTCCTTTCTTTTAACTAGGTTTTCGATATACTTTTAATTTTTTCTCCTTTTTCTCGTTTTTAAGAATATAAAATAATTCGTTTACCCTTTCTATACTTCTTCTCTGAAATGTATATTAAATAATTGAAAATAACAGGAGTGTCTCATTATAGCAAAATTAAAATGTTTCATACTCTTTTTAAAAATTGTTGTGTTAAATATTTCACGTTGTTGGAAGTATGATACATTACAATTTCATATATTGTATTGCAATAAAATATTCTCATGACAAATACTTTCCCCTTCGATTATTTTTATCCCTTTTATATTATAATATTTCCCAATATATGTTTTCTGTTATATTAAATTATAAACTATTATTATACACTATTACATAATCTATATCATATTACATTAATAATAAACGATTGCTTTTAAACTTTTGATTAAAAATTCTACAGTCAGCATTATCGCTTTGGTCATTTGTCTTCGCGATTTTTCTCCTATAATTTATACTCAGTTTTTCAATATCTTCGCTTACTCTATTTCTTAAAGATCTTTTCCCATTTTTCCGATCATTTATTCAGTCGTAATAAGTTTATCGAGATTTGCCTCTCAGTCGCCATTCAATCAGATTCTAAAGGTGGATGTTAATTAATATCTCAAATTTACAATTACCCAACGATACATGGAATATCGAAGTAAAATAATTCTACGTCTTAATTTGCATACGATTTCTTATTTACCGTTTTAAAAATATCGTCGACTTTATGGCAGAAAGGCTTTGAATTACTATTTTTCTGTAACGAAAAAATCGCCGAGTGCAAAGGGTTTTTAACACTATAACTATCAACCCATTCAAAATGACTGGTTCCAGAATTCCCCTTTTTGCAATCACCGAACACATACACCTGCTTTAAGAATAAAATTGGTACCAACTCGTATTAAGAAAGAAATGTAATCAATATATTCACTCATATTCATCGTATCGCTGAAATTGCTATAATCTGTGCATGTTATGCTTAGGCATAGATAACAAATGAATATGTCAAGAAGTTTTTCCTTCAAATCAATTTGTATAGTAGTTATAAGCACTTGTACCACACAACCATGCTGTGCCAATACTTTTGTCCAGCACTGCATATATTTTTTTCGTAAAATCACTGCTTGCCCGATTGTTCCATCAGTTATTAGACATCCTGTATAACACTATATAATACAATTTAACTTTAATCTAAAAATGTAAACAGGGTCTTCTTGGTTTTCTTGTAAAAAACCGTCTAGTGAAGCTCTAAATATAATATATATTTAAACAAAATATTTGTAAAAAATTTTATAATAATCTTAATTTAGGATGTCTGAAGATATCACGAGAATTTTTTCACATTTATTTTTTAAATTACTACTTGCGTGAAAAATGTATGGAACGTGACTGGCCCTGTTTCATGTGATTATACTGCAGAAAGAACGTTTACATTGGAAGGGTTAGAAAACAATTTCTTTCAAATATTATTATCGAATTTATGTTAATAATGGAAGGGGTTTACTAAGCGAGGGCTAGGCCACAAGTCTAACTCTCGGTGGCCGATTCGATATTCTTCTCTTCGTTGTGAGATACTCACGATCTCATCTTTCCCGTAAACTGTCTCTCAATAACTCCTCTCAAAGAACTGTCTAAGAACTGTCTCGGAACTATATTCCCGTATGCTTCTCGACCTACCCTTTTAACCGTTTGAGTCCCAAGCAGCGCTTGAGGCTTTCGGAAGAACACGGTCGAAAAACCCTGAACAGTGCGATAACGCTTGCCTTAACCACTTGCGCTACGATTTAACTTTCGGTTGCCGTGCCGCGCTCTACAATATAACATGCGGTAAGGCGTTACATTGACGTGATATACACGTCGCTGGCGGCTTTGGAACAAAAGCATCTCGACGTGCGTGGCACGTCTTTATAGCGCAAGTGGTTAATCGAGTGCGAAGAAGTTCAAACTGTGCGATAGCGCTTGTTTAATTTTATGTCAGAAAATCCCAATCGTCGCAATAGCGCTTGTTGGTAATATGTGACGTAACATGCATCAGCAAAGTTGAGCGCGATCGCGCTGCTTGGGACTCAAACGGTTAAGGAGGGGCCTTCTTTGTTCATTGATCGCGAATCAAGCGGATCGCCGCTTCGATTTGACGTACTCCGGTTTGATAACTGCGGTTATCACTGTTACGTGCTCCTCACTCACGCCGCCTTATCGGTAACCGGTGCTCGCCTAATCTTATATATTCTTACAATAATTTATCATTTTTTTTAATGTTTCAGGATTCGTATAAGAACTTGAACGCACATCCCATTGGAGTGATCTCACGAAACGAAGAGTTGCTTCGGAATGAAATTTCAATCGACTTTGAAGTGGCAGTAAGGATGGCGACAACCTGTACTTACCACATAAAGTACTTCCGCATAGACAGCACTGCCTATGATGTCTTTCCGCCTCGGTTCCACCCCCTCCATTCGATGATAACTACAGAAAATTGTACAATTTGATGGCAAAGAATTTTTCTCTTTAGTGCCTTAAGCGAGTAAAGTGATTCCTGAATTAATTAAAATAGTTTCTTAAGATGTGAATTTGAATTGCGAGAAAAGGTAGAATTGCGAATAAGGAAGGAAATTTCTTGTCGTCAACACGATCAATTTCCTAATCGAATGAAATCGAATATGATCAAAACTGAATCTGGAAGAATATATTGTGTCCCATTTTAATAAAAATTTGTAAACGAAAATATAGGGTTCGATTTAAGAAGAGAAATTTGACATTCAAATAACCTTACAAACGTGCAATGAATCAGAAATAAATATTATAGTTGTCCATACCCCTTCAAAACCCTATAATCTTTGTTTGAAACATTTTTCTTGAAACAGCTTATTTTTCGAGATATTTTATTATTTAAAATGGGACACCTTGTGTATTTAATTTGCATGCATTTACTGGCAATAGTTAACAAACAAAGTAATGATTTGCGAATCATGATATACTGTTTATTTTATGAAATACACAGCTGAAAATAGAAAATAAGTTTTATATAAGATATTGGAAGGAAAACTTATTGTTTATTGGCACAAGATTAATTATCTCTCCATTTGATTTTTAATTTTAACGTATGTGGAAGATAAAGACTATACAAAAGCTCGTAAATGACTATTGTGTTTTTCATTTTTGTCAGTGATTTTCCTTTTTATTGTTATAATATGAAGATGGAGAAATATATACAATGTTCCAAATTTCTTGAATAATAAACATTCTCTGATATTTATTTGGAAGATAAAATAATGATATGTACATAATTATATAATTATTAACAGCAATTAATTATAATTATGTAATTATTGACATTGATTAATTATAATTGTATGATTATATTAAAATTAATATCTATATATGATATACAATTATAAGATAAATTTTCAATAGTACTTTTCTCGTGATTCAATGGGATTAAACACCTGATACCTGTTAAGATTACAGAACCAAAAATTTTTACCATTTTTCAATGCAACATAGCAAAGAAATTTCCATTCGTCGTCATGTAATAAAGTTTTAAAATCATGAATTAGTTTTCACAAACCCTGTTATTCATGTTATACTGTGGAGCAAATCATTTAAATTCTTGTTGGAAGATAGTTTTAGGGAAATACCAAAATTCCAGCAAAAGGATATTATAACAAATTTCAAATATAATTTCCAACCGAGAGGTGGTATTTTTATTACTCTAAAAATTTTGTAAATTCCTGTTAAAATTCGCTTTTTGCAATTAAAATTACCTACAAAGTTAAGCAATAAATCTACCCTAAGAGGTAATACAATTTCATATCCTAAATGTAATGTTTGGATTTTGTATTAGCATTATGCAAATTATCGTTAGATTATGTCAATTTAAAAATGAGAAGTAACAATAAAATCGAAGTACGTGTACATAAGGAAGTGCCTTAAGTGAAGTTGAGAGGAATCGTATTAAACCGAAGAAACTATTTTTTCTACCTATGCTTTATAACGAGTATTTAAGAAAAACATTCTACTATTTATACGTATAGTGTCGTCCATTAAGCTATTAGGAACTACATAAGGCAATACGCTTCGAAAAAAAAGAAAAGTAATTTCGCGTGCCAAGAATGGAAAAATGTTATTCTCACGATATTATTTAATTAATTACTATTAAGTCTCGGTCAGTACGCCTTGTATTAAGGGAAATGCAAATTTAGACGAGTTATTGTAGAAATTTCTGATTCTCCATCGTTCAGTATTAGGAGTACATAACAGGAAACGATTACTTAAATCAAAATTGTATAATATTTTTATATGTTCTGCTTTGATTTTCATGATCAGTTTCATTGTAATTGCGTTCATTTGTATACGAGTATGTACAGTGGGTTACAAAAATATTGGGATAATTATGATAAAATTGAATGAAAAATTTATAGCATATTATATTGCAATTCCTAATTTTTAATTTACTATGAAATTATTGCTAATTATTTATCAGTTTTTCTATTGGAATAATACAAGCTACTTTTTCAAGTTATTTTAATTAAATTTGGAAATACTTTGTCACGGTATATTAATTATTCTTAATATGCTTTCAAATAAAATATAATATTCATTCGACATAAAAGATATTTAATTAATAAATCATTATTATATCATATTAATATCATATAACATTCAAGTTGTTATGTAATATTAATATCTATGAATAAAAATTTTATTTCAGGCATAATTGGTATTCAGTATAACTATGAATTTAGTAATAAAAATATAAAAATTTAGTAAAAAATTAATCAACATAATTTTATCAACAGACTGGACCATTCCATGACAGTATTTTAATTTCATTCACGTTCATCTCAATTATGTTGAACAATCTCTTACAACTTTAGTAATACTCGAATATTTTCGTAATCCATATGTATCAAATTTCCTTTGTATACTACATGTACTTTATCAACGCACATTTCATCAAGAAACCTATAGATACTTTGTAAATTCTGCATTAGCCTAAAGTACTTGATTATTTCTATTAATTTAATTAAACAAGAACTTAAGTTAGTACCATACAAAATGACCTTTCTCCCTACTTAAATCGCACAAGTACGTTCGTCTAATTGTATAAAAGGGAGAAGGTTTGCACAAAAGTCTTAAATTATTCAGCGTTCGTTCTTACGATAAGTAGACTTCTGTAAATACAAGTGCCTTAATTATAATTACTATTCTAGGAATTTTGTTGTAAGTTGTCTCTGGTATGATAGAAAGGTGGGGTTTTCGAACAGTTTCACGTGTTAATTCACTTAAAAGTATAAATACGTTAGTGTAGTATTTAGATATGCGACTCTCATTGTCAGTTACAATCAACTACCCCACAGGCGTCCCTCGCATATATAATTATATCTGCACCTTCTGTTCTTTTCGTTTTGTAATTTGTTTTAATCGTGACAGGCGAATTACATAGATATTGTTAGGAGACATTCGATCACGTTTATGTAAAATTTCAAGTGGCCATATACCTTTCTATCGCACCCCATCTCAAGTGTTTCGTTCTTCCTCACATCTTCGAAAATCAGTCACTCGATAGGAGCATTGATACCAAATTTCTGTTATCACACAATAAGCATTTTTTTACTTGTATCTTCTGTAACAGTTTTTACGAAATATTTAAAATACATTTTATTATTTATATGAGTCTATTTTTATTTATTTCTGATACCTTGAATGATTGCTCGAGCGATTATTGGAGTCTAGTGAAGTATAGTGCAGAGAAAATACAAATATTTCTGTTGGACTAATTTATAGTAATAAAGAGACATTTGCATCCTCTTCCTTTTTCTTTTTTCTTTTTTTGCTATTTATTCTGTAATTATTATTTGTTGTATAAATGGAATATTGGGGTTATGGGTAAAAAGAAATAATTATCTTTATTCTATCCTAAGGAAGGTATATCAAATATATTCTGACTGTTGGCATGGAGAGTCAAAACTAAAGTGAAGAAAAAGGGTATGCGATTGCAGCTCGACCTGGTCCCCTAATTCTTATCTAACACGTGAAATAAATACTTCACGCGTTCTTGGAACCTCTTCTGCACATAGTTTAAAGATATAACTATTGTGAGCATTGGTTTTATGAAAGTGTAAGTGTTGGTTTTATATGTGTGAATGATATTAAGGTAGAATAAATGAAAGTTATTTGGTATGATATAAATATAATATTTACGAGTGGAATTTAGTGTGAATGTTGATAAAAAATGTTTAGAAGAATATGCCAGAATGAAACAATTACGTGAGAATCGTCATAGAGTAAACATGAGAGTGAGAGAGAGAGAGAGAGAGAGAGAAAAGAATTTTCAAAATAGAGTCAATCTTTGTGTTTAAAAATAGTTTATTTAGAATTGTTGTCAATATTTAAATATTATTATCTAAATATATTAATTTGTCAATTGTTAGAAAACGTGAAAGATATTGGTATTCATTTCTATCCACATCTATTTCTCCAAAGAGATTGATTTTTGTATATACGTTAAGACGTATCTTATTCTCAACATGGAATTTTTCTGTTGTGCAATGATTGTTGGAGAAGTAAAATCATTTTGTTACTTAAGAAGAAAAAATGACCTACCAGCGTTTAATTTGTTTACATATATTTGCATATGTCATAAATATTTCTAGTTTCATTCACTATGATATTGTACTTATTCTTTTTCAAATTGTATATCTTATAGTATAAGTAGTAAATTGATATCATTTACATCAATTTTATAATTTTTTATTCCGATTGAAACAGGAGAAAATATGATCAAAGTGAGTCATAAAAAATTACTATTTTTTATTATAAATTTGTTACATTATATGTTTTAAAACATTAAACTATCATAACTTTACTTTCTACATATAAATTTGTTTAACTAGTTTCAGTAAAGTATAACAGAAGTATATATAATGTTTTATGTTCATTATTATTTCAACATACTTCACATTCATGCTCAAATTTCGCCAGTCATTTCCCATCCGAACAATATATACCTTTTACTGGTAATTAAAGTAAATGAATCACGTGTATTCATGTACTTTGCTTATGCGACGTATAATGCTCTTTATTTATTTTCATTATTCACATAGGACGAGAATTTTATTATTATTAATTCTTTTTAACCATTTTCGTTTATTTGTTGATTACAGTCTCGCAATATCAATTTTCTTTAAAAAAGTTTAATTTACATTCGAATATTGATAAAATTGATATTAATGGATATTGATTGTACATTAAATAATACTAAAGTAAACCCAATAATATGCGGATTTCACATCAGAAATTATTCAAAATTATTTTAATTAACGATTAAATATTTTTTATTTCCTCAAACATAATGATACTAGATCAAACAATGAAGTATTATAATATCATGAATCTATATAAATTTAATGTAACAATTTAAAAAATTTTTAATTTCTGCACTGTTTATTCAGAGACACAAATTACTATTTTATTATTACTGCACTAAACTGTGTTATTTACTATTTAATTTTTAATTTTTAATTATTATTCCTTTATTTTAATGTCTTGTAATCAGTATATCTTGGCATTATGGTGTATTGCAAGTTTTGAAACATGCAATATTTAATTATTTACACAACAAGATTTATAGATGTCTTTTCTTATAGTTCATCAAATAGAAATCGCAGTAACGTTGTATTCCAAGTGATATCTTTGTATAGACCACAAAATTTTAATAATTTTAATAATTCTTATCAAAAACAACCAATCCCAATTTTGTTCAATTTTTAAGTAATAACTTATTCTAATAATTAAAACTAAGATTTACATCATTACAAAATCGGTACTATACAGAACGATGTATATTTCCTAAATTTTAATGCAAAAATTCCCTGATTCTATAAAAACAAATTGATTATTTCGAATATCTTTTTCCTCTCCTTAAAAAATTAATGAAATTGACTGATCATTTTTTTTTTTATATAAACCCTTCAGTTATGTTACATTTATATCCTCTATAAAATGAAAAAGATGGATAGTCACTTCACTATAATTTCACATGTACGCAACAAACGTAATTATATTCTTTAACTTTTACCTTCAATTGATATTCCTCGTTTATAAAATAAAGTAATTTAATTATTTTCATTATTCTTAATTTCAATATTTGAAACATTATTCTTAAATAAGTTTTCACGTACGCGCTTACTTTCTCCAATGCGTGCCAGTCGCCTGTAAATAATTATGTTAGCCAGGAAGTCTACATAGTGCCGGTAGCTGTAACGAAGGGTGGTCAATTCGGCGTTTATCGATAATTTCGTAATTTCGTGAAATTGGTCCCGCTCAGGCAAACTCGACAAGGGAAAGTTCCTCCTCTTCTCCTCGTCTCCTTCTCTCTCTCTCTCTCTCTCTCTCTCGCTCATTCTCTTTTCTCATATCATTCTGTCCTTGTTGTTTTTTTTATTATTCTCTAGGGTCGATTTCTGGACACGTTCCATGCAGGGGGTGAAACAAGTTGCTACGTCATTTCCGCAAGTACCCGTTTCCACCTCAACGAACCACTAACGTTATAACCGTCTTTTTGTCTGCCCATACTTTCCAGTGCATTTTTATCGTATTTCTATATAACCATGAAATATGTGTTCATATATGTTATTATGATTATTAGTCAATTACGATAAGCATGGATTACGTAAAATAATTGAAAATTACTTTAAGATAATTGGATAATGAATTAATTTGGGATAATTTAAGATAATTATTTTAGAAAATTACTTTAGAAACTTGCAATTATTAATGTAAATAATAATTGTGTCATTTTTCCAATTTATTTTTGGAAATTAACAAATGGGGATATTTGTATTTGTAAATCGAATTCTGAAAAATTTATTGTCGATTTGTTCGAATTTCGAGTAAATTTTTTGGTAGCTACTTAATTACTTAAGACCTGGGAAAAATTTTTTCGAATGAAGCTTTTGTTATTGGATATTTTGCTATAGATATGATATAATCTTAATTAATATTTTATGTCAATATATTAACACGTTACATCAATATATAATATAATTTGGCTTAAGTAAGAAAATTAGTAAATTTATTAAAATTAGTAAAATTAGAAAATTAGAACTTTAGCAGAATTTAATTTTCATTGCATTTACTAACTTTCTTAACAGAGTTTAGTTTGTCTTCTCCCTTTTTATTATTTATTATTGCATATTTATTGATAATAATATCATCTACCATTAGTAATATAATAAACTTTTGTATTAACATCAAACCTATTACTTATTATCTAATACAATATTAATAAAATATTATTAATTAGTTGTTAGATACAATTCAAACAACCATATTTTTCAAACAACAGAGAAATCATTACAAACAAAGGTATCTTAAATAGCAAATCGATTAATTAATCGATTAAGATTTCATGAAATATCAATTTAATTGGTTTGTTCCGGAAGGTTGTACAATATTGGTTTGCGAGGCAAATTAAGGAAAAGAGGATAAGGTCATCGTATAATTAATTTCAAAGAACGGAAAATCTCAAGTACATTAAAAGCATAGTATATATATATATACAATCGAGAATATAAAAGGAGCCGTTATTTTATTGATGCATTTTCACGAATTTCATATGTAGTGCTCGTTGCCTCGATTTCGTGCGAAGGTAGTTGCCATAAAATGTTATCTTAATTAATATGAGTACTTATGTGTCAGTGTGTATCATATTTTCTTTTTCTGTAACAATACTTATTGTTAGTGATACAAGAAAGTAATTTCGAGAAGATTTATATTACTTTTAATATTTGTATACGAAAAGATTAATTTACTTTTATTAATTAACTACATAATCTCTGTGTAATTAAGCAGTTCCTTTTCCTTGAATTTGAATCGATTTGAGCTTTTTGTTGAAGAAGAAAATTAGAAAGCATAAAATTTTACGTTTTTATTATTATAGAAATTTGTGGCGTTTAAAGTGGTAATATTTTTTTATGGGAAATTCGCACAAAACTTTTGCAAAGGATAGTTTGTGTTTAACATACTTAAGTGAGTATTATTTGGTATAGTTAAGAATGTGTTAATTATTGTAAGACAATGATATTAATATTGAAAGTAATATGTATTTTGCACTTATTTTAGTAATGTTTGAATATTCTTAAGCTTAATTATATAAATATCCTTAAATATGAGTATTATTTAATAATGTTTAATATTTTAATATTTTACGATAATAATACAGTTAAAATTATAGTAATTAGTAAATTAATATTGAATATCATTAAATAGATATTTGTATACTGAAAATTCAAGAACATACATTTGACTTTATATTATTTGTATTTAATAATGGAATAATAATTAAGATAAATATCGTTCAGTAGAAATATTTATACAATACTTTTATTTTACTAAAAGAATTTCGACAACACGTATATAATGATGGAGGCGCTAACATTGCATCTACAAACGGCAATTTTCTATGCACTGGTAGCGATTACAACAACTTTACTTGGAGTTTATTTTTACATTGAAAGTCTACATGTGATTCGCATGGGAAATAAGCTTCCAGGTATGTAAATGCTTTAAAAATAATAATTTTCAATTTATTTCTGAAAATGAATATCAAAATTAAAGTAAAAGCTTCTACAATGCTTTAGATCCAGAAAAAAATTATTCTTATTATTTTATGTTACTATCAAAAATAAATAATAGAATTATTATCTATTCGTACACTATGAAAACTATATTTCTTTATGTAAGACATTTTTTGAAATAGAAAATAGAAGATATTATCTAATATTATATAGAATTATTTATAATACAAGATAATATTCTTTCAAAACAGAAAATTTATTTAAGATATTATTCTTTGTGACATATTTCTTCTGCAAATATTTAAAATCAAAATTAAAACAATAATAATATTCACGATATTAATTATGTAATTATACTTATGTAGTCAGGACTTTATTAAGTGTACAATGGTATGCAAATTGTAAAGGTAGTTACCCTTAGAAAAAAATAGGAAGAAACGTATGTCTGGTAACAAATTTTTCTCCTTCCAGGACCAAAACCCGTACCAATCTTGGGAAATGCATTATTAACTATCGGTGTACATCCAAATCAATTGCTAGACAAGTTACTTACATACGATGTATATGGACCTGTGATTCGTGCCTTCCTAGGAAGGAAAGTAATTGTTTTCATGTATCATCCCCACGACATCGAAATCATTCTCAACAGTTCAGTGCACATTAATAAAGCTGCAGAATACAGGTGAGGAAGACAATATTATACTGATGAAAATAATTGTGCATATATACATACTTTCAAATAAGAAGAATACAAAGAAGTAAGAAATCACTCCATTAAAATTAAGTTGACTAAAAAGCGGTGTCTATGTTTTTGTTGGTGTCTATGTTATAAAATAGTAATTATTTTGTTGGAATAAAAAAGATTTTATCAATTAATTTGTTGATTATTTTGATTCGTAACAATTTATCTTATCAACCAAATTAAAATCATCATGTGAAAAATTTGTATGTATTTCGAAGATTTTTATAATTTTGTTGCGAACATAGTAGATATATAGTGACTAATAAAAATTAAATGATTTTTCACTGCACAGTTTTTCGTAAATAAATCATTAGACATGAAGTAATAAGACACTGCTTCGTACTTTAGAACAAAACTGCACCATCTACTCGCTGGATAATCCAATAATAACGGTAGGAAATAATTTTTTGAAAATTTTTCTAATTTTTCCTGCAGATTTTTTAAACCTTGGTTGGGGGATGGATTACTGATCAGTAACGGTGAAAAATGGCGGAGTCATAGAAAAATCATAGCACCCACGTTTCATTTAAGCGTACTGAAAACATTCGTCCCATTATTTTACGAGAATAGCAGAGATTTAGTAATACGTCTGCGTGATCAAATCGGAAAGGAATTCGATTGCCATGACTATTTGTCAGCAGTGACTGTCGATATTTTATTGGACACAGCAATGGGTCTACGAGAAAGTGAGAAACATAAAACTGGTTATGACTATGCTATGGCAGTAATGAAGTGAGTATTATAGTTTTGTCATATAGATTTCTTTAATACGATCATTTCGAATGCTGCATTTATCTTCTTTCGCTGCAATTTATTTGTAGGCAATAAGGCCAAGGTATACAATTTAATTTTCCTTGAATTTTATAGAGCTGAGGCCAAAATAGAAATTCGCGATTTTATTGCTTAAATAACAGGTGACTAGTAAATAATATTATAAATATTTATATTATTATAATATAATAATAATGTAAATATAATATAATATAACAATAATATAAATATTTATTTTATACACTTACATCGAATCCTATTTATTAGGGGTATATATACTTGTACTGGAAACAAATCAGTTGTAATTTCTACAACGCTTGATAAAATTATTATAGATTGTTATTAACATTACTAAAGATTCCGATTGTTGATTAAATGAATGTTTTCGTTAAAAGAGAAGAAAGTAAGTGATACAGTGAAAATGGATACAGTGGAGGATAGAAAAATATCTATCCAGATGTAGCTTCCAACAAGCTTCCCTGATAGTGCAATATTGAAATATTCTTTTTTCATTTATCGATTTCATATCTCTTTTTAATAACAGATCTCTAAAACTTGAATCACGAAAGAAGTAAAAAATTTCCAATCTTGAAACTGGTAACTTTTTCAAGTTTCGAAGGATTATTGAGACTTTGACGTTTCGAAAATCGCACTTGGAAATAATATCACGATGTAAATTCTTTTCTATATTATTTCAAGCAATTTTTATCTCTCTTCAGATTATTTGTATGTTCATCATATTACCAAGAATGTACAATGTTTTTAGAAACGAGTAAACGCAATTACAAATCTCTATTGTGGGTTTACAAGTATAACGTTGTATGACAGTGAAAGAGAATAGTTGATTTTAAGTAATTTTCTGATATAGGTGGTTTTTTATCTTTCAAATAATAGATATTGCCATAGTTAGAAATAATAATAGAAGTTAATGTTTTAACACTTTCTCTACGATGGGCGTCACCGCAAAGTCTCCCCCGTAGAACGAAGCGATGTATCAAAGATAGAAACGTTACGGTCGTACAATTTTTAACATCCGGTCTTTTAATGCAAATCTTTCGGAGAAAAAAGAGAAGGAAAAACTAACCATCGCAATAGAGCTTGCAATTCTTTGCGAAGAGAGCTAAGAGGAACGGTAGCACTTGTCTTAATTTTTTACACAATTTTTGTGGCCGGTGACTATAGTCACCTGTCGTGTGTAGATGGCGTCTCGTAGCCGATGACTGTAGTCACCCGTAATAGCGAAAGGGTTAATTTCTGTAGCCGGTGACTATAGTCACCCGTCGTGTGTAGATGGCGTTTCGTGGCCGTTGACTATAGTCATCCGTAGTAGCGAAAGGGTTAATTTCTGTGGCCGGTGACTATAGTCACCCGTTGTGTGCAGATGGTGTCTCGTGGCCGGTAACTATAGTCACCTGTAGTAACGAAAGGGTTAAGGTAAAGACTACGCTCTTACATCCATTTCTTTATCTCGATTGTTTCGCTCGCTTTCTTTGTCACACGACGCTATATTATCAGGCTAATAGGAAGGGATCATTTGTGCCAATAAGAGAAACGCGTTTATTCTACTTCTGTGATGGCGTTAGAATGGATGGCTTGGTAAGGGATGGTGGGGACTCGGTCCTACGTTTTGCTCAGCGGACTTCTTGTCTGCAACGCACAGTATATGGTCAATGTCCAGTCTTTTGTATTCACATTGACATTTAGCATCGGATGTAATGCCTATTCGAACGAGTGAAACAGCGAGATTACAATGATTTGATCTGTATCTATTGATACTATGCATACTATACTTTAGGGTTTGTGTTAATGTCACGATGTAAATAAGGTAACACTGATATAATTTAGGTAAATCGATTTAATTAGGTGAATCAATATAATTTAAGTAAAGTGGCATAAATCATTAAAATAAATACATATTAGTCTCACAAAGTAGTACCATATAATTTAAATAGATCGATGTAATTCAAGCAAACGAATGATTTAAATAAACGTAAAATGTAAAAAGATTTTAAGTAAGTATAATCTAACTAATATAATAACTAGTAATAACTAGTATAATAACTAATAACTAAAATAATAGAATACAATATAACTAGATCGATATAATTTTAGTAAATATTGAATTATAATTATTATAATTATAATTTATATTATATTAAAAATTTCCACGTTAAGCTTTGAATGAAAAAGTTTTATTCTTTCTTTTTCAATTCTGCATGTAGAATCACCCCTTTCTGGTTGCAATACCTTTGCTGAGACACCCTGTATTTGATCAGTCTCATTTTGACACATTTCGATCCATTTTTGACATTTTTCTCATAATTTCTCTGCAAAGCGATAAAGGAATTTTTGTTCCCTGGAAGATGCTCTTAAAAATTCTGAAAGAAATTTTCATTTCCAGGCGATCCCAAAAATAGCCCCTTTTTAACATCTTCCTTTAATAGAGCTTTTTTAATATCTGTATAATATTTATTCTTAAAAACAGGATGTGCGACATCATTCATCAACGACAGTTCAAGATGCATCTGAGATTCGATTTTCTCTTCAAACTTTCCGATTACGGGAAAGAACAAAACCGCCAGCTTAATACGATCCATAATTTGACTTCGAAGGTAATTAAAAGGAAGCGGGAAGAAGCTTATACCAAAATTTTGTCAAACGTCAAATCTGAACCAACGAAATCTGAAGAAAAGGATCAATTGAAGAAGAATAGCGAGGAAAATAAAAATACGACGAAAATGCACTATGTTAGAGATGATTTAGATGAGCTCGATGAGAAAGATATCGGTGAAAAGAAAAGGCTCGCTTTCCTCGACCTTTTGCTGGAGCTTTCAAAAAATGGCGCGAAACTGACCGACGAAGAGATTAAAGAAGAAGTGGACACGATAATGTTTGAGGTAATGAGAATAATTCTGCATGAGCATTACTTGATTTAATTTTTAATTTCATTTCATTTCGTTTAATCTTATTTAAATTATTAACACTAATACGAGTACATTTTGGTACATAGATATAAATTTTTCAATTTCGTTAACAAAGTAATATATTATTTAAAATTATAACAAATTATGTTAACAAAGTAATAATATAAGAAAAATAATATAACAAAATTATGTTAACAAAGTAATATACAATCGATATCGAAACTTGTGCACTGACGAGGAAAAATATATTAATTTATAACACTTATTTGCAACCATAGATAACAAATTGTTAATTAATGAATTTTTTAGTAATAAATAAGCAATTTTGATTGCAGCTGATCAAACGAATTATTTTAAATTAAAAATTATACTATTTTGTAATATCTAATATAAAGAGTAATACAAGTAATCATCGAATATATTGTTCAAACTAAAAGAAAATGATTCTTTATTTAAAAACAGACAAGAAGTGTTGAATAAAATTTGTCTGTTTGAGGTTTAGTTCGCGAAGAAATTGATTTTGAAAATTGACAGCGCACACGTGCACTTGTCGACGCATGATTCGTCAAATGACACTATAATGTATCAACTGTCTTAGCCATCTTGCAAATTCAAGCTCTGTTTTTTCTAAAATAATGACTCTTTATACTTTATATAAAAATACTTTCACCCACCTTATCAACGCAATTTCTTTGTTTTTTCCCAAGCAAATTTCTTTTAAAAATGCGAAATGAAAATGAAAAATAACATGATTCACGTTGCAGGGACACGACACTACTGCCGCGGGATCCAGTTTCGTCCTTTGCGTGCTGGGAATTCATCAAGATGTCCAAGTGAGTACATTGAAAACGTACAAAAGTGCGAGAAACACATTCGAGGAGTGATTCGATCAATCATAGAAATTTATTTATATATTTTCATTCGACTAATGCTAAGAGTACCTTATTTTGAATACTGTACAAGATATTTCATATGAGATACAATACTTCGAAATTTTATTTTAATGTTGCTAAGAAAGCGATTATGTCTTTACGATCGCTCACTTTTTTAATTCCGTTGAACACCATCCTTGTGCCGGGAATAAATTCTCGTGGAAATTGTAGATATTCGTCCAGGGTATTCTCGTTCCACACGATACCTTTTTTCCTCATTGACTCGGTGTAAGTGAAACCAGGGGTAGCTAGATTTATAATTAAATTTTCTTGATTAATTTATAATTAGTTTATTTCATAATTAATTAAACGATTAGTCATATGATGAGCATTGGCATAGCTTTATTTATGCAATTTTAATTTGCTTATATTAACTTTTATTGAAGTAGAATATTAATGATCAAGCATGCTTAGAATTTCTAGACAGTACTGTATTATTAAATAAATCTAGGATACATATGTATATAATGTAAATATGAAAAAAATAATTTTCAATAATTAATTTTATTAAATTGTTCAATAGGTAATTTTGTAAAATAATTTTTAAGCTTCTTAAATTAACAGTTGCTAATTGTTATAAATTAGAATTAAAAAATTGTTTAAAATTAAAATTGTAAAATTTGGTTAAATTAAAATTTCTTAGTTATATATATATATATGAAGTGTAAAACTGAAATTCTTTTAACTACGATTCTTTTACTTCTCGGAATTAAAAAATTATTACGTTAATATAGTTAGGATAAGAAATGGTAATGATCAAGATAATTATTAAGATTACTGGATATTTGATTATTGTTATTCTATTATAATAAATATATTAAATATATTTATACATATCTTATATTTTATTATTACAAATCTGTCAAATATTTTTTTAATTTTTTCGAAACAAAGTTTGTTTATTTGAAATATATTAGTTAACGATGTACGTAAATCTGTACTAATTAAGTATGAAGAAAGCACTCATGAAAGAATTTTAAAAAATTTTAAGACAACAACCATTTCTCTTTTTCTTGTAAAACTTTTAATTAATTTGAAATTAATAAAAAAGTTGCATTTACACTTCTCCTATCCCAAATTTTAGGTTACATTTGAATGCTACATTAGGTTAAATATACGTTTTAAGAATGAAACGTAATTCAAAGAATTTCAATTGGCTTCACTTTTAATTAGGCAAAATATTTAATTAGGAAAATTGAATAAATAAATTTTACGAGTAATCTATGAACTAAAAATACATGTTGGCAGTTTCTAAATGAGAATTTAAACGTTGTAATAATTAAAAAGCTTAAAAATATTTTTTCTTCGTAAGCATGAAATGAATATACTATTGCAATAATTTACATCTTTATTAATTTTAATCTCACAAATAAACAAAAGATATTTGACTATCTTAATATATACGTAAATGGGAAGAAAATAATATACAATATTATTTACATACTGCCACACGTTTTTCCAAATATTCCAAAGAGATTTGGACCTACTCTGTGTCCTCCATCCTTCGTAATGGGATGACACATGGCACACATTCTGAGAAATAACGTTTTCCCATTTTCTCGATCCCCCATTCTCGAGAAAAGGCTTGTTTGTCAATGACAAAGGTTATATCTATTATTCGTATAATAATGAAAGGTTAGGGGTCTATCATTCCTGTAATATGATGTTGATCGATTATGGTCGACGACGTGAAGTTTCACTATAAGTGGTACCATGGTTGATCTAGTATTTTTACTAACACTAGGACTACTAACAGGATCAAAATGTTTAAAATTAGACTTTTCGTGATTGTGGTAGTTGAAAGCATTCAACTATTTCTGCAAAATTAATTTTTATTTTTATTTTGATAGAAATTTTATTTCAAAATATTATATAACAAATTAATTATATGACTATCTTGTAACTATATAGCCATGCTGTTTTAAGAACAGAACTTTATAGGTAGGAAACTCTATGTTTGTAAAATGATTTGATAATTTAAACGAATTGAAAAATTTTCGAAAGATAATAGAATTCCTTTAACTTTTTATATATAATACCTAATCACATTGCCCAATAAATTTCAATTTCTTCTCTAAGCATTACCATTAGGTACTTTTTAAAACAATTTTATATCTTTACGTTTGTTTAATTATTTAGAAAAATAAAATATTTATTTCATAGGATCGAGTGTACGAAGAATTGAATGAGATTTTCAAAGGATCAAACAGGCCCTGCACATTCGAAGATACTTTAGAAATGAAATATCTTGAAAGGGTAATTTTTGAAACTTTAAGACTTTTTCCACCAGTTCCAGCAATTGCAAGACACCTTAAGGAAGACGTTAAAATAGGTAAATATGAAGTTTCAGTGAATAAACAAGTATTATAAATTATTCACTGTTTCAAATATCGTATATTTTTGATTCCCAAAATTTTATGGTAACATTTATGAAAATAGTGAAATACATAAATTAAATAATAATTATTTGATTACATTTTACATTATTGCATTATTACAGAGGTATCTTAACATATGTTAATATTCATAGATATTTAATTTCCATTGTAATCCGAAATTAATTTTCTTAATTATTTTCGATTTAGAGTTGAGTTACAATTTTTCCTAAAATTTTAATTTGAAATAATAAAAATGATGTATGTACTGTAGTTACTATAATTCACTTATGAAAAGTTTCTTGGTAACAAATTTAGTTAAATGTGTAATGTGATTCTGTTACAGTGACAGGAAATTATGTTTTACCAAAAGGCTGTACGGTTTTGATTGTACCATACAAAATTCATCGATTGGAAGAATTCTATCCAAACGCTGATGAATTTAACCCTGATAATTTCTTACCAGAAAAGATGCAGAACAGACATTACTACTCTTTCATCCCCTTCAGTGCAGGGCCAAGGTAAGTTGATGAATAATTTTTATTTATTTCGTAGATGTACATGTACATGTATATTAAATAAACACAAATCCATATATGAGCCGTTCACTGCACAAATCGATTATCCCTACTTTTTGAAAAATCTTAAATTTAAGTGTCAAAGCACTTGGTATGGTCATAACTTTTTATATTTATAATAACTTTCCCCGATAATTAAGATTAACATCATGAAATGACAAAAATTTTTTGGCCACTGAATAAGAAATAATTTATTTCAGAAGTCACTTTGATTGACTCCGTACTCTAATGTAAATCGTTGCAATAATGCAACTCAAATGCACTAGCAAGCCATGAATGATAACGCTGAATTTTTTAGTGCCGTCTTATCAGAATTTAGGTAATATGTAGTAAAATTTAAATTTATTACCTTTTTCGCTTGCCAAATCGATTAACTCTTGCAGTAACATAAAAATGGTAACATTACTAACGATTACCTTTTGGCTATTTTTTCTTATAAATTTTATATACCGTTAGATGAAAGTTACATTTGTATTACATTCGTATATTTATTTCGATTTAAATTATAAAGGGAATTTTAAAAAACAATATGCATTATTTCATTGCATTTCTTCACTTTTTGTTTTATGGAGTTAATCAATTTGTGCAGTGAAGGGCTCATATATTTCGTCTCTTACGTATGTAGTTGGCATGAGGGTGCAAGACGTATTTTACCTGATTGATCGCAATCCTTTTTTGTAGATCATGCGTGGGAAGGAAGTACGCGATGCTGAAGTTGAAGGTTTTATTGTCGACGATCCTGCGGAACTACAAGATCCTGTCGGATCTTACAGAAAAGGACTTCCGGCTGAAGGTTGACATTATTCTTAAAAGGATAGACGGCTTCCGAGTAAAAATCGAGCCACGAAACAAAAGCAATCAAGAGGTTCTCGTTTAAATGGAATTCTTATGTACGATCCGTGCTAAATTATCAACGACAATTACAATAGATCACGTGAAAATATCTGATAAATCTGATACGAATAATAGAAGGTTGAATTATGTATGCTAGTATAGTAGAAATGAACGCTTTTCTATGAAAATTTATACTTTTACAATTTTACACAACCGCATTTATGTTTAATAGTTAGTTAAAGTTTTGAATTACTTCCCAATGTACTGAAATAAATGTAATGTATTTCATGGAAATATTGTTGCAGGAAATAAATCATAAAAAATTATGAGTCAAAAAATAAGAAGTATAAGTATAAAAATAATAAAAGAGTAATAGTAATAAGAATAATAAAAATGTGAAAATAATAAAAATAAGAAGTATAAAAATAATACAAATTTAGTTAAATGGATAACACTTTCATTTTCTTAACAAACTGTTACAATATTTATTATTATCGTAGATTTCATAAAACCATGTACACCATGATAATTATTTTTATTAAATATTTCAGTAAAAAAAGGTTCTTTCATTTTAAAATCCTTTGTTATAATTTCTAACTTTTCACTTACACAAATTATATAATTCATGTGTATTTTTAAAGTTTATATATTCTAAATAGCCGGTGTGCTTAAACTAGTTACCAATTTTCCTCACAATTTTGGAAGTATCGTACAAAAATTACTACACAATACATGCTCATTCGTTCATTCCTTCATTCCCTTCTTAACTTCCAATTTCATAGTAACTTCAACGATAATTACAGCAATTAGAATATAAAATATTTATTTAAATTTCATTTATAACATTCGTCAAATATATGTACACTCGATACAACGTTATCCCTATAATTTACAAATTTAAATTAATTCGAATTTATGGTTTCCATTCGTTGCACGTAAAATTTATAGGATACTAGATTTAGATAGATTTAGGTAGATTTGTACAGGGTACTAAAGCTATAAAAAGAAAAATTTAACTTAAACACCTGAAGGAAATAAATGGTCTCGTATGACTACAACGATTTGTACATCGTATCTAACACTGTAACAATTAACTCTATAGTAATAATAATCTAATCGCCAATTTACAATATCTTCCGTTCTACTAACAAATGTATCTTGTAAAAACGTCGTCAAAAATATATTTAATTTGATTTTTGTACAAAAAAGAGTTTCTATTTTCTATGTAGTACGTGCATTGCGTACAGGGTCTTTCTCCTTCTCTCTCCTTTTGCGTCAATCTGCAGAAAGGGAACCGGAAGTTTTGGCAGCAATTTTATCCGTCCGTTCCTTCCTCCTCTTTGGTAAATCTACTGAAAGGAACTGTATTGCCCATGGAATAACGAACAGGACGTTCATTAATATAAGGGCAAGCTGGCAGACCACGAAACTGTTGGTCCAGTCCTTCATGAAACCTGAAAGAGTTTATTTCCTTTTTAAAACTCGCTTCCATCTGCTTAGAACAAATATAGATATCTAATATAACTTTGTTTTTCATTGTTTGTAAACGAATGTAAGGTTGATTTAAAATACTAGATAGTTTGGTATATTTTTAAACGATGTGTTAGTTTCATTTTTATACCAGAAAATTTTTGTATTTGATATACTTTTAACTCATTAACTGCCAAATTTCTTTTTTCGAAATTTTTGGCCAGATAAGTTATATATATGCACAAAAGGTTGTGTAACAGTGTAATTATATTCAAATTATGTTTTGTTTTGAAAATATTTGATATTTTTGAGAAAGTCCCAAAATGGGTATCGTTATAAAATGATCAATAAAATCACTTCAATAAAAAACAAAAGACTGAGTAAGTAACAAATCGTTACTATAACCTCTAAATTTTATATTTATGTACAGTATTTCATTATAATGTAAAAACCAAACCAAAAGTATAATGCTTCAAATATGACAATTCCGTTCTGTTCAACTTACACGCGAATTTCAAATTTGTTCGCTTGTTGTATAGAAACGAAGTACAGAATACACACTTTTTGTTACATACAATATTGACTAATATATATAGAATAAAACTAAACTGTCAGACGCACCAAATATATTTTTGGCGCCGAGTGGTGTACGTAAAATTCCAAAATCTCCAAATGGGGATCGTGGCAGCTAATGGATTAATTCGATTGAAATTATGTTCTATCGTTGGAACGTTTTATGCATTTAGTATACTTTATAAATGATTAGTATATTTTCAAATAATATTTATATTTGTATATAAGAAAATTTATGGTTAGATAAATTTATTTATAGTCTGAATAAGATATTCTCAATTTTTGGATCACTTTGGACATTTAATTAATATATTTTTTGAAATAAGTAGTATGTTTGTTAATAATGTATTATTTATATTTTTTGGAATAATTAGTTTGTTTGTCCATAATGTATTATTTATATTTGTAGTGAAAAATATTCATACTTTTAGTTTGACTAATTTATATTTCATTTTTAGAACATTTTATATATGTAATATATTTTTGTGAATAATTCGTATATTTTTTAATAATATATTATTCATATTTTCAGATAAAAATATTGGTATTTAGCATACTTTTAATGTAACTAAAATTACATGTAATCGTTAGAATGCTTAGTATATTTGCTATAGTTTTAAGGGTAAGTAGTATATGCCTATAAGCAGAAATAGGCACTTACAATTAATATATATTTGATCTGATTAGAATTATATATCATTTCATAGGATATTTATTATTATACTATTTAATATACCTAGTTATGTTACTATAATACTCTATCTTTGTTTTTGGTTTCGAGAATTTTGAATTCCTATGGCCCAAATTTAATACATTAAAGTAGATTATATTTTACTTACCAACAATTGGACCAAACAATATAGAAATTACGCCGCTAATAGCCCCAGAAATTCCATATGCCGAAGCAAATTTATCAATACTGATATCTTCAATGATGGCCAATGGTTGAGGAACCAACAACCATGATCTGACCATTCCTATAAGTGTTATCATTACAAACGTACCGATCAAGGTTTCATTGTATAACAAGTAACCTGCAAAGCAAATAGCAATAAAATTTTCGATAATATTGACAATATTACCAATATCATTTTACATACTGTATTGTAAAACTGTAACAATTTCCAAAATAATATACATTTTATTCGACAAGGAAAGTAATGTACGTAAGAAAATATTTCGAGAAAAATTTTGTTAATGTATTGTTAAGAATTTAAGAAATGAAATTATAATTAGGAAAATAAATGATATTTTACAAAATTGAAACAAGAATCAAGATTAGTGAAAAAACCATTTAAAGAAAGTAGAAAAAGAGAAATTAAGATTAAAAGAGAACAAATATTTTAAAAAATTAAAGAAGAAAGGGAAACTTTTTCAACTAGACAATGCAATTGATCATTTATAATATTAATAGTTGATAAGTATAGTTTGCTTACCAATTTTTGCGAAGGCCATGCAAATCATAGCGACGAAGAATATATATTTCGCTTTCACTTTTACCACCAAAGTGAAAATTGCAAACAAAATCTTGGACACTAATTCGGCAGCTGCACCAATGGTAATTGCATGGGCTGCCTGACTTTTCGTGAATCCGTTGTTGGTCATCATCAGTGGCAAGAGACAAGAGAACGTGAAGTCGCTCGATAAAACGAAACTAATGCCCAGACAAATGTTCAGGAATCCAACATTCTTCAAAAGTGACATTTCCAAAAGGTCTTCCAGTATTTCCCTGTTATAGTGAAAAATATTTCTATTATTAGATTTATTAGAATTAGATATCACTAAAAATTGTAATTTACAAATGTAATCCATTAAATATCTCGAAACAGAAAATATATGACAGACCACTTTCATAATTATGGGCACAAGTGTCATCTCTAAAATTTCTCCCAATATTTTTCTGCAGTGATGGAAATATTTTTATTTGTCTCCCAAATAAATTAAGTGCTATGAGAAATTGTAATTTAATGAAAAACGAGAGCCATATTTAGTAACAAAATTAATATCTATGAAATAGTCAGTGAAAAATAATAAAATTTACTTAAATTTTAAATATTAAAAATAGAATATTAAAGAAAAGAAAGGAAAAGTTTACTTAAATTTTAAGGATTATTTATGAACAATTCACGTACGCTAGATGACCTTTACCAGTATCCTCCTCGTCTTCCATAGAAACTTGCACTGCTTTCTCTATCCGTTTTTCTTTAGTTTTCTCAGGATGATGTTGCCTAGTGTCTCCTAGACTTCCAATGCTTGTCACCAAATTCACCAGACTTGACGATGACAAGGTTGATAATCGTCTCGTTAACAATTCACGCATCGAACCAGATTTTATTCTATTGCAAATTCTACCCTCCAGTTCTGATATCGAGGATACCCTCTTCGCTGGTGACTGTACGTAACCAAAAAATTTTTTACAAGAATTAATATTGTAAAATAAAATTATTTTTTATATCTAAACTGTACAATATATATACTATATATAAGCTATACAAACTATATTTTAACTATACAAATGAAATTATCGTTTAAAGTTTAATATTTATTGTTGGCGAATTATTTATAATTTCTTAAAGCATTAATTGTGATCAAGATTGTTCATACTGTAATAGAAATTCATCTCATGTTTATTTAAAACTTTTTGAAATGTAACTTGAATGTCTCTTATATGAAAATTTTATTTTTCATTTTTATATAAAAATGTAAATGTATTTTAGGTATACATTATATACTGATCCTTTGCACTAGACGATTTTTTGGCTAAAGAAGAGTAGGAGTTCAAAGATTTTCTGCTATAAAGTTGACGATACTCTTTGGAGCAGTAAATAAGAAATCGTATGATAATTAATACATGGAATTACTAGATTTCGATATTTCGTACACCGTTACCTTATCTTAAATTTAACATATTAATTACCATCGACCTTTGAAATTTTATCAAATGGCGACTGAAGGGCGCCTCTCCAGTGCAAAGGATTAATAAAAATTTAGGTGTAATTATATATGAAAAGATTAAATTATTTTAAATATATATTCTACGCTAATAGTAATTTTGTCATTTACAATTTTTATCATTTTGACATATATTTCACAAAATATAGTTGAAATTGCTGTTAATAATAATATCACAGTTAATGAAGAAATTCTTAATCGTTACCAAATAAATAAAATGTCTTTCTAATTAACATTTCCCTTTTATGTACAGTAATATCTTTATGATCGGTTATGGAACATAAAATGATAAAATTAGGTAATACGTTATTTCGAAGCACATCTGTTAGTGAAAGTTGCATGATCTATAATTACACGCATGAAACTCTTTTTATCTATTGCTTTTTTTATATTGAAGCATATGAATCATTTAAGCGTGCTGAATATTTTACAGAGTAAAAGTTTTATGTTACCCGTGTATACCAAATTGGATTTTGCGACCATAAATTTATTAATTGGGTTTCAAATATTAATTAAATTACTTTCATTATCCTCAGTCGAAGCGGTTATTTATATTCTATCGTTAATAGAACATAAAAAGGAATATAAGAACGAAAATAAATGATAATATTCAAAATTCACACGTTAGAATATCTATTAAAGAAAAGAAAGATTTTCAATTATTATTATTTTTACTAAAATAGAAATTATAGATTTTCTATTTTATAATAATAATTTCGTTTCAACAGTTTCTTTTGATTCTTAAATTTATCTAAAATCTTATTCGAAATATATAACAGAATTTTTTAATATTATAAACTCAATAGTAGTAGAAATTCCAAATTTAATAACAACATAAACCAAGTCATAGATTAAATTTAAGATTCATTTCTCTAATGAACATTATTACGTTCATATATTCGTGTAATTAAGATATCTTTAAACTCGATTAAGACTTTACATAGAATTAAATGATAATTATGTGTACAGAATTAGGATTAAATAATAACTAAATTTAATAACGTATTAAATAACCTATCACATTCAGTAAATTATAATATTTCAACATATGAAAGAAGAAAGTAGAAGAGAGTATTTAACATCAGAAACGAAAATTCAGTGAAAAATTTCGAAACGGTATTTAAAAGGTATCAAGTACCAAAATAAAATTTTCATTAAAAACCAGTCAATAAATCGCAAAGAATGTTTCCGTTAAACGTTTTCACTTATCAGAACCTTGGTTACCGACATCGCTACATGGTATGCCTTTTAGAATTTATAACAACTGCTTTCCCTCGTAAATATGTCTTCCTTAATATTTCTCATTGCCGAGTCGCGACTGCGGATCAGGACCACGTACAAAACTTACTTTCAATGTTTCAATCAAAAGCGGAACCTGTTTCCCACTTTCGCCCTTGAGACTCGTTAGGCTGCTCCATCTGGTTTTTGCCGGCGCTCTTATAACGTCACTATAACGTCGATTCGAGACTACTATACCCCGCAACTTCCGTTCCTCCCTTTCGCGTTCCCTCTCAGCGCGAACTTCTTCCGGTTTCTTCGCGTGCCATTCGACAGGGTGCATCATTGTCATCCCTACGATGCAGTTCAAGCTCATGGCACCAGTCATTAATGCCGTTCCTATTGCACAATATGGTTAAATAATTTTTATTGCCAAAAGTTGAGAAACTTTTGAGAATTATCGAGTATTTTAACACATTGCGTACCGCATAGAAATTTTTAAGCATACGCCAGGAATTACACGTTTTGACAAAATAGTGTGTTGACATCTAAGACCCATAACAGATGGTACGCAAAACACGAGAAAACTTGTGAGCAGTACGCAATATGTTAAAATACCACGATTACAATACTATACGAGCCGTTCACTGCACAAATTGATTAACTCCATAAAACAAAAAGTGGAGAAATGCAATGAAATAATGTATATTGTTATTTTAAAATTCCCTTTATAATTTAAATCGAAATAAATATCGTAGAATGCATAAATACAAATGTAACTTTCATCCAACGATATATAAAATTTATGAGAAAAGATAGTCAAAAGGTAATCGTTAGTAATCTTGCCATTTTTATGTTACTGGAAGAGTTAATCGATTTGGTAAGTGAAAAGAGTAATAAATTTAAATTTTACTAAATTTTACTTAAATTCTGATAAGACAGCACTAAAAAATTCGCCGTTATCATTCATGGCTTGCTAGTGCATTTGAGTTGCATTATTGCAACGATTTACATTAGAGTACGGAGTTAATCAAAGTGACCTCTGAAATAAATTATTTATTATTCAGTGGCCAAAAATTTTTGTCGTTTAATGGTGTTAATCTTAATTATCAGGGAAAGTTATTATACATATAAAAAGTTATGATTATACCAAGGTTTGATACTTAAATTTAAGATTTTTCAAAAAGTGTAGTTAATCGATTTGTGCAGTGAACGGCTCATATAGTATAATCATACTCTATGGGATGGTGATTTATTAGCTAACGATTAAATATTTTATATTTATCAGTAAAAATTAATATATTAAATAAAAAATATTTAGATAAATATTTGTATAATTTATTATTTATTAGTATAGGTTTTGTATAAGATATGTGGGAGAAAATCATATTGTTTATTAATGTGTAAGATATTACTTCTGTATCCTACTTTTAATTTTCATATATAATTTTCATATATATATATATAGTAATTTGTTTATTCGATAATCTCAATTTGCTTCTTACTTTACAATAATATAATGTGAGTGTATAATTATTTTCAATTTACTTTTTAAATTTTATACCCCTGAATTAACGTATTAATATAAATGCAAAAAGAAAATGATTGAAAAACAAAAACTAAACTGTCGTAACAGTTTATAGTAAATATTCCAATTACTAATACGTAATTATGTGATTATAAGCTCATCGCATAACTTTATTTAATCATTTCAGGATCCAATCTAAGAATTGTTGCAATTTAAAATATAATATTGTTTGATATCTCGTTTATCAGACAAAATTTTTATGTAATACGTTATATACAGTGTGTTAATTATTAATTAATTAAAACCATACATCGAATTATTATACTATCGTTACTTACAAAAGCATCATGCTTATTTACCACATAATAATAGTGATTATCTTCTCATTCTAATACATATTTTTCATATTTATGAATATTCACAGATATGTAATATTTCTATATCGTTATCTAAAACGAAGTCTAAATTTATTTTATAAAATTATTAAAAGTACTATTAATTCAAAAATAAATACTAATAATTTATAACAAGGTTAAATTTCTATATCGTTATTCAAAACGGCCTAAATTTATTTTATATAATTATTGAAAGTATTATTAATTCAAAAATTTATTACAAGGTTAGTACACTTTCTTTTGTTCGCGATTGTTCATAACAAAAATAATTAAAATAACAAGTATAGGAACACTAACATGCAACATCTGGTTAATAATATTGCAATTCCATTGCAATTAAAACAATTTTAAAGATTCCTTGTATATTTTGCAAATATTACTACACTGTCAATATTTGATAAACTCACCTCGAAATCCGTAGAGCCTCATCATTTTCTCGATACATATAGGATACGCAATACCACCTAAGCCAATGATGACTTGAGCCGCGCTCATAACCTAAAATCAAGAAGAATTTCTCTAAAAAATTAAGAATATAAGTGTGTTGAGAATCACCGGCCACCGGCCGCGGATTTACGTACTGGTGCCCTCTTCTTCACAAAATAAGCATTAAAATTCGTGTTGCAAATTGTGACGATCAGGCCGAGGCCCATTCCTTGAAGAAAATTCAAGAAGGCCATCTCGTAGACATTCGTGACGAAGGCTAGACAAACGTTTGGTAACGAGAAGAGCACAGCACCAAAGACTCCTACAGGTCTCATGGAATATTTTTTTAATAACGTGTTGGTCATTAAACCTGTAATTTAAATAAATTATCTCAATAACTCCATATCCATTTATTCTTAATTCAAATAATCTGAATTTTTCATTTAACACGTTAAGTGCCATACCGGTCCCCAGGGACCGGCGCTAGGCTTTCTGTTCGGGCCCGGCCGATCCTCAGGGACCGTACCAGACTAGGACCAAAAGGTGCTAACTTTTAGTGTTAAATTTTTCGCCATCTTTGAACCTAACATTTGGGAATTCCTGCTACAACAATTGGTACAGTATCTCCGAGTTTTATGAACACTTCGCTAGGCACTTAACGTGTTAAACGTATAAATCGCTTTGTTTTCTATTTGTTCAATTCTTATCTGTTGCGTAAATATAAATTAATTATAATATTTATTATTATTTCAACATATAACCCACTGTGTTTTCAATTTGTTAAATTCTTATCTCTTGCGTAATTATAAATTAATTATTGCATAATTAATTTATATTCATAAATCTAATTGTAGAGATCAGCGATTGTTAATTATGCTGGAAATTGAGAAATCATAAATTATTTAAGCTTGAGAAAGCAATATTCTAAACAGAATGTCCTACAAGAAGGCCTGCAGACTTATTCTGGGTTAAATCTATATATCTTTATGTCTATACGGGGTGGCTCGACTATAATTCGACTAACGGTAGTTAACATGTTTGAAAGAAAAATTGAAATAAAAATAAAAATTTGAAATAGAAATGATTTTAAGAAGTATATAATCAGACATGAGTAGGTTTTTCCTGTGTATTGTATATTCATCGGGCATATGTAAAGATTAACTTTGTTTTTTAAACTGAATTGTATATTTCTTAATTTACTTCTTAATACACTACTTTCTTATAAAATAATAATAAACCACTAAAACTACCAACTTGTAATATACAATTGAATATAATATACACAGATAATGATAATTAAAGTGGTACAATGAAAATAAGTATATATAATTAGATTTGTATCTGAAGGAAAATTAATATTAAGTATGGAGAAAGAAACTGCATAATTTTAATAATTTTACACATGTGGTAGTTATAGTATTTTAAGTCACTTATGTAATAAATACACATACTGTTATTCAATATTTATATTAAATTTGAAATATTAAAATTAAAATCAGATATGACATATTGTCATACGTGATTTATTGTTAATATTATTTTTATAGAGAATAACAACTTTCTTGGGTTACTATGTTAAAAGATATATGCTTCTATTTAAAGAAAGCACAGTTGATTTTAACTGCATTTTTGAATTTGAGTGTATGCAGAAAAATTTGTTTACATCGGATTATTTTCTAAAACTCTAAAACATTGATTAATATCATCATGAGTTTTGAAGATATTAAAGTGGGTCGGTATTAAATGGAACACCGTATATATCTTTATAGACATGTATCCTGTATGACATATGTATTCATATATCTTTACATCCATATATCTTTATGCCCATATATCCTTATTCTTACATCTTTATGTACTTATACCGTTGTACTTATATCGTTATTGTAAGTCTTCCTAATTCTTATAGCTTAAGCTCATAACATTCTTACCTCCATGTGGTGTGTTATATTTTTGGTAGATTTTTTAATGAAATTTAAATAAAAATTTGATATTTCCTTATAACTTTTCCTTATAAATTTAAATAAAAATTTGATATTTCCATATAATTTTTCCTTATAAATTTAAATAAAAGTTTGGTATCTTCCTTATAATTCCATTTTCCTTCTTTCTTCTCATATCTTATTTTTCAAAATAATTTCTTATACTTCACGAAATTAAAAATTAAAAGAAATTTTCGAAGTACTAAAAATCTTAAAGTGAATTTTTATTTTTAAATTTCACATGTTTTCTATAAAAAGGAAAGATTATAAGTTAAGAAATTATTGAATTAGTGTAAAGGTATATAGACATTGAAATAATCGAATATCTATTTAATTATTCGATTTAATGGCAATAAGGGTATATAAAATTATTGTATAATATAATAAATAAATTAATAGATTTATAATTTATCCAGTGTATTGAATATAGCGTTTGTAATAAAAATAGAAATATTGCTTATTTTATTATGTCACATTATAGTTCGCTATTAAAATTTATAACTATAATTGTTTTATAAAATTGAAAATGTTTCGTTTCTCTTATCTAACACCTATGGAGTTACAGAAGATTTATATAACTATTCGTGAAACATCATCAGATGTGTTATCGGTAGTGTTCTCAGCATTTAAGAGTTTCTTAATTTTATCTTTTCACGAAAAATACATGATGTTCATTGTATAATTTGACTACAGTACAGTAATACTAAATTTATATCAATAATTCCAAATAATCGAAGAGATAAATAATTTGTAAAGTATTACAAATTTAAATTATATAATGAAATATAAATAACAATATCATTTTACTATATGAAAATTTTACTATAAAAATTCTGTTTATAATTTTTTTTAAATTTGTAGCATTGGTAAGAAAGTTACTGAAAATTAGTTACTATAATTTTTTTTTATTCATGCTTCTTTTTGTATAATTTATATTTTTGAAGGAAAATTTCTATTTTATTTTTATTTCGTTGTAATTTGAAAATACTAATTTTGTATCTCAAAACTCATCATCACTATCCACCTTAAAGAAGTAAGTGTCAAGTACAGTTTATTTAATATCAATTTTAATAACTTTGTTATTTTCTAAAATTGAATTTCATATCTATATAGATACACAGATACAATTAATAAATGCAATTTAAATTTATAACAACAATAATTAGAAATTTAAATACAAAGAAATCTTGGAAAATATAATATAATATTATGATTATATTTGTACTAAGGGTATGAGGAAATCTGAGGAGAAAATAGAACAGAAATAATATCAGATAAAGTTTGTAACATCATCGTTAATAAATATGAATACAGCGAATGTTTTTAATAGTTACATGATTAACTGTTGTATCACATTTGTGTGAACTATTATTATCATGAAACAGTATTATCAGTACTAACAATGAGAATCATGTGAACCTAAAAATATACTCTACCAACACGTCAAAACTTCCATACACGCAGGATAAAATTATTCAATGACACGTTATCGCTTTCTTGTACTTTTGCGATGAGACATATCAAGAAGTAAATATATCTGCTGTATAGAATGTAATTATGTCAGTGATTTGTTTTTTTAATTTGTCAATAGATAATCATGTCAAGTTTGGAAAATAATCGTGTCACAAAAATTATTTTTCCTTTTAAAATTGACAATAGTTGCATCAAATTATGAAAGCAATAATACCGCAGAAATTTTTCTTTCATCGAAACTAACAGTAAGAAATTATGTCAAATTATAAAAATATAATTATGTAAATATCATTTTTCTCTTATTTTATATTTCATATACTTAACTCCGAGCAGTATATACAATTTAATTTCGTTTAATTCAATTTAATTCAATTTCCTGTACGAATTGATATCTAAAAAATGTTACTATCTTAATTTTAGTGACTTAACTATAGATAAAAGAATTTTAATTACACTATAATCATAATTTATTCAACTTCATTTTATATTATCGTATTGAAATATTAGATCGAAAAATATTTGTTTCTATAGCATTATGGATTTTCAAGAACATGACATTGAACGTGTAAATGTGTTGAATGAAAGCTGTAAATTAGAACAACACACTTTATTTGTATGTGCAGACGTGATTTCACTTCCTGGCGCCATGACAATTTCGTATCAAGTAAACGTAAGATGCACGTGAATAAATCTCTTGAATAATAGTGTTAACCACATTATAGTTTACTCGTAATCTACTCTTCTATTAAACATTTTCTTTGATATTTATCATGGAAATATTATATAACAGTGATTAAACATTCTTTACCAACTTTTAGATTTAATTTTAATTTTTAATTTTAAACTGGAATTAAAGTGATTTTATATTTAGCATTCATATTATTTATTACGCAATGCTCATTAATATAGAACATAATTTAGAAATATAGTATTAACAGGGCTGGCGTGACTTTTCGCGGGGCCGGGTTCAAAAATTTTGCGGAGCCAGAATACACGTTTAAATCCGATATGGTATCGGTAAATGGTATGGTGTCATCATTCTCCAAAAAGTTAATCAAAATCGGTGTTTTCTAATTAGGTGATTTCCTTAACACTTAATATCTTCCACACCCGTGTTGCAGTCGTATCAACCTTTGATGTCAACGTTTAGTGTCAACGTTTAGAACACGCTACAACGAAATATTTCAATGCAAAGATGTCAGAGAAAATCTTGCACTCGTGTCAGTGTACAGCAAGCTGTACCATATCCAATTAATCCATAATCGATTAATGGATTATGCTATTGTATTTTCTACACACACGAATATTCAATCTACTATACAGGGGGTTTTGCAAAATGTCTGATGAGTTCTCGTAAACCGAGGGGCCTTTTAATTTTAAATTAAGCGAAAAATTGTAATAGTGTGTTTCGAATATTTACTCACCAGCAATAGAAAATGTAATCATAAAGACGGAATTAAAAAGTGTCATTGCTGTACCGGCTTGACCAGTTTCTTCCAAAAGGTCACCAAATATTATTGCAAATGACGAAGTTGGTCCAAATGTCGTAACCTGTCGAAGGAATCAATTATACTTTATAAAAGTACCAATAGTAGCAAATTATTGTTGTTCCCATGTATTATAAAACATATATATTTAATTATAATAAAAGTATTTTCAAGATAAACTTAATTTGTTTTCTAGTTTAATATCCATTATATATGTATATTTCATATTTTTTTCATTATACTTTTCTAAATTTCAATACAAATATATTACAGTTATAATAACTTTGACGTCACATGATTTAAAATTACTGAAGATCTTATTAGTGAATTAAAAATTATTTTTGTAAATAGTACTTTAAAAATAGAATTTTTTAGATTATGCTAATTGTAAGCATTGAAAATCAATAGAAATGAATACTTCAGATCTTATTAATGAATCAACTTATGATTTGTTAATAAATAAATACCCTTTATACGATTATATTTACTCTTAACAATTCCATATTGC